GATGGAACTGCTAGGTGTACATTTCCAGAAGTTCATAGAGGTCGATATCAGTCGGGGTGGGTTTATAATTCCTGGTGACTCGATTGTTCATTCATTTCTCTTCTGGTGTTAATTTGGGTGTAGAAAAACTTGCAATCTTTTTTCCCCCACATAATATCGCCAATTGAATGCACAATTTGGATATTCGAAATCATATTGTTAGTGTAACATCCCGTCAGCTTTGGGTCTCGACCCTGATAGTTTTTTACTTGGGGTGCAATTCAAGGTTAATTATAAAAGGTCACCCATCCTTGTTGTACTCCATATTGAGCATATTTAATTTCAAAGTTCTCACAAGAAACTCCTCCATTTCACGCCAAAATGCGTCTTGACAGTTAATGTCGGTTTCTTATAAATCATGGATATCTACTATACTTTGTCGATGTGAGATTGCCTAAGGTCTTACAGTTAGTTTCACAAAAAAAAAAAAAAGATTACAAGCAAAAAGCAAGTTAACACCCATTTGATGGCTATTTCGGTGTACTCATTTTTTGGGTGCACTAAACGTACTCACTTTCTGGTTTAATCTTGACCCTTCAATATAATTAATATATATCCAACGATTGACAATAATTAATATATTTCTAATTAAAGTATACATTATTTATTAAAATAATTTATAGTTACCGGTAATTACAATTAAGGACCTAATAATAATTCATTCCGCAAATTTTTATTTTTCCATCACAACAAACAGTGCCGCTCACACCAAAACAAAAATCAATTGGCCCCGCGACGTCCGCGATCTCAATGTGATGGGTGACGTCAACTTCGACAACTGAGAACAAACCTTTTAGTTGAATTCTCCGTGAATTAGTACTGATTAACCGTTAGGAATACCACATAAAAATCTCGTGTATATCTTTCGTTTTGTGCAAGGTTGTCAAACCGGTTTATGCCAGTGTGCCGGTTTAGCAAGTGGAATGGTTCGACCGGTGGCACATATCGGTTTGTGCCGGTTCATGTCGGTCAATATTACAAATAAAATTTTAAATACTCATGTTTAAACATGACATTTAACGTCAATACTTAAACATTTATACTTGAATCCAACAAATAACATCAATATTTAACTTTTATACTCATAAAATAAATAATAAAATTATTTTTATCAATTAAATTCACTAAAATATGGCGCGGTTTAAAATCCTGAACCAAAATCGCATCTTGGCCAAGTGGTTTTTGGTCTGACCTACAGAAACCGCTTGGCCGAGGTGCGGTTATGGCCTTACCTATCTAAACCGCACCATGAAGCTGCGGTTTGCTTCTCCCAAACAAAAACCGCACCTTGGGGGTGCGGTTTTGGTCAATTACAAGCCATGCAGAATAACAGACGTGGGTCTGCATGGGCCTGCATGGCAGACAAAAACCGCACCTCTAAGTTGCGGTTTCATCAGTGAATTTGCCTATAAAAGGCTGCAGGAAAACCACTTCTCTTCACACCTCTCCTTCTCCCTTTTCAATTTTCTGTTGTAGCTCTATATTTCTTTAGTAGTTTTGCGATTAACGTTAACTCGTAAGTTATTTTGTATTACTTTTTAGTGTTATTTTTTATTTTTGATTTTTATGATATTAACTGAACTACGGTTTTTTCGCAGATGGCATTCCAAAAGTTCACGCTAGGCTTACGGTAGAATGGTTACACGGAAGAGACCGGAAAGGGGGTCACCTACGTCGGTGGCAATTTTCAGAAGATAAAGGTCGCTACCAGACTGCTGCTTGAAGACCTCCATCAAATGTGCACTAATGTTACTTGCATGGATGGCACGAGAAGAGTTGATCGTATGGTATACCGATATCCAAACAGAGAAAGTGGGTCATTGTGGCATGAGGAATATCATATAATCACTCAGGATGAGGTAGATACCATGCTTGAATTCTTGAGGTCCAACAATCTTTCCAAAGCCGAGATGTTCGTTTACACCGAGCCGGTCGTAGGCGTTGGAGGTCATTCTGGACACGGTCAAACATCTGGTATCCATGGTGGAGGTGAATTATATGGCGATCATCCCTACCAAAGTTACCATGATCCACATTCCTATTTTCAGTACCAAGAGCAAGGTGAAGGTCATCATCAATCTCTCCCGCCATATGAAGAAGAAGTTCAACCGGACCTCCCCAACCAACCTTAGTACAACTTCCAATCCGGCAGAGGTAGTTTTCACAACTACCATTATGGAGCTGATGAAGGTGCCTTTCATGAGCTGGATCAGATGGAGATGACCCCGCCAACACCAGTCAGTGACCCCTCCGATGAAGAAGGAGAGAACAACGTCAGTGCAGGCAGCTCCGACCCTCTTGAAGGTGCTGATGATTCAGGACCAGAGTCAGACTCAGCTAATGATGATGAGGTGGCTCGTGACCGTGTACCAGTCCCCTACTACAATCACATTCCAGACGACAATTGGATGGTCGACAGCTAGGGGTGGGCAAACGGTTTGGTAAACCCGACCCGACCCGAACCAAACCGAAACCGAATTAAACCAAACCGAAACCGAAATAATGCTATTCGGTTCGGAATTCATAAGGAAAATATGGATAGTTCGGAAATCAGGGTTCTTTCAACCGAACCGAATTTCCGAATTTCCGACCGAAAAACCGAAATACTATAATTGTAAGCTCCAAATGGTGGATTTTTATGTTTGTAGTTGTTTTTAGACTTAAATATTTGAAATGTTTTATGACTTATGTGTTGAAAAGTTTGGTTTTATCATTGATGATGCATATAATTGATATTTATTTTTTATATTAGGGGTGAAAATAATTTAAAAGTGAGAAAATACAAGTAGCTTCACAAATTCGATTTTGTGTGAAAAACCAAACCGAACTGAATTATAATTCGGTTTAAACCGACCGAACCGAATTATAATTCGGTTTGAGGTTTGGGAGAATTCGGGGACCCAGTATTCATAATTTCGGTTCGGTCGAAACCGAACCGACCGAATGCCCACCCCTATCGACAGCGACATGGAGCCGCCAGAGGTCCCAATATGGGGTCCACTCACTGGGTTTATGAAGGGCCAACAATTTGGCTCGAAGAAGGAGGTGCGTCACGCCATTGAGACTGAAGCAATGACTCGGCATTTTGAATGGCACACAACTCATTCCAACACTAAAAGGCTCATAGTCAGATGTCGTAATCATCACATGGGGTGCAATGTTAGGATTCAGGCCATCAACAGCAAGAGACACGGCCACTGGGTCATATCCCGTGCGGTGAACACACACACATGTGTGTCATCCATAACTTCCCAAGGCCATCGACAGTTGAAATTCAGGGTGGTTGTTGCGGCTATCAAGCATCTAATTGAGCAAGATCCGGACCTGAAGGTAAAAGTCATAATCGCTGACATTGCAAGTCGTTATGGTTATACGATTAACTATAAGAAGGCGTGACATGGAAAGCAGAAAGCACTGGCCGCCGTCTTTGGTGATTGGGAAGAATAGTATGCATTCCTTCCCAGGATAATTTTGGCATTGGAGGCGTCTAACCCTGGCACGGTTTTCTCCCCTCGATACCAAGATGAAGAGATACGACCCCCAGAGCCAGGTAACAAGCGCCATTTTAGACGACTTTTTTGGGCATTCAAGCCATCTATTGATGGTTTTGGCTTTTGTGTCCCTGTGTCCCTTGTGTTTCTAAGGAGATGTATACCTCTCCTAAGAGTCTAACGAGAGTTCCTCCGGGTTGTTCGAATTGTACTAAACTGCCGAACTCAGACTAACGTACTACTTTTCTGTGTCTTCCTCAGCGGTTGCCTACCAAGAGAAAAAATTTATGGAGAAGATGCAGAAGATGCGCGAGCTATGCCCTGAAGGTGGCCTCTCCTTCTCTAAAGTTGAAACAATGGGTCTCCTTTCTCCATCTCTCGGCTAATGCAGTGATGAGTTGGCGATCAACTTTGATGCCGTTAAAATGCCTAATCGAGTCCAACCGTGCCCTTTTGAGAAAGGGCAAGATAGCAGGGTGGAATGAGAGCACATTGGTGGTACCCCTGTAGCGGAGTATTGTTTGTTCCTCCTTGCGAAAATTTACACGTTAATTATTATATATTAGTAAGGGTTTTTTTTCTTATAACAAAATTAATTAAATTAAATTATTTAACTTCAAGCAGAATTTTATTATCATAAAAAGACATTTCATATTATCATAAAACAAACATCCTAAATTAATTAACATAATAACATTCTAAATGAATAATAATTTAAAGAGATAACCTAAGAAATATTTTTGCCACCAATCGACCATTTTTTCGGGAAATTCGGACAGAGGTTCGGCTCGGCGGGTTTTGAGGAAAAAACCTAAGAAATATTTTTTGATGGCAGATCGGACTTAGCTGCAACCAACAGACCACTATTTCCTAGGCTTTTGGGAGGGGAGGGTTTAGAGAGATAAAATCTAGAGAGAGAAGGAAGAATGGGTTGTGGTGTGAAGAAATGAGAGGGGAAGGGGGGTTATTTATACCCAACAGACCGCACCCTCCAGGGGCGGTCGGGTAATTTTTCCCTCATAGAAACCGCACCTTGCCGAGGCTGTTTGGGTTTCCCGAGGCTTGCCCGCACCTCGACGATGCGTTCCCCGATCGGATCCGTGGCGCGGATCGCTCCGCTGGCGCGCGTTCAGCGCTCCGATCGTGCCTCCATCCAACGGTCTTCAAGACCGTTCCACAGAATCTGAAGACCGCATCTTGGCGCTGCGTTTCTTGTGATGACGTGGCTTGGAACGCACCCCTAAGGTGCGTTCCATTAAAATTGGTGCTATTTCTGTCAATTTTTTTCGAATTGGTGCGAGTTTTGTAATTTTTTTTTAAACGTGATATTATTAGAAAAATCCCTATAATTAATTATAGATGGATCGGAGGGAAACAAAATGATAAAAGAAAAAGAGCAATAGAGTACTTTCTACCTTCTCTCTGCCTTTCTCTCACTTTTCCTCTCTGTGACTGCCTGCCCTTCAAGCATTTTTTTTTGTTTACTTGCATAGCTAACTCGGATAATTTTCTGTCATTTATCCTCCTGGATTCCTCCCAGACTCTCTTCTCGATTTCCTTCTCCCTTCTCCAAATAGCAAAGCCAACACCTGCCCTTGTATTCCTTCCCTACCTCCGCACTCACCGGAATTCCACTGCTGACCACCGGAATCGATTCCTTGCTTGCCTATTTTCCTTGTCTTCCAATTGCTCAGCTGCTGGAGAGCAATCAGCTCACTTCGCTACAGTGCCGATCAATCTTGCGCTTACCTCAGAATTGAGCTGAGGCGGGAGGTGGAGACTTGAAGTTCGTTGGACTCTGAGTCAGCTGTTACCTCTTGATGCTGCTGGCGACGGTCTTCACTTCCGAGCTGGAGTAGCTATTGTAGTATCGTGTGGATTCGCTAGGGTTTTTCTAGTCTGGTGAATGGAACGGTTCTGCTGCTTGATTGAGAATGGGCGGGAGACGTACTGCAGTGTCGTTGCTGCTACTGTGTAGCTTTCTCGGTTCCAGGATAGCTCGCCGTTGGAATGTCGCCGCCGGATAGAATGGCTGCGGATCTCAGTAGGACTGGCGCTGCTGAAAGGGATATTGAGCAGGTATCCGATTTCGTTTTTGTTCCAGCTTTTTTATTTGCTTTTCTACCCTGGATACTATGTTTAGCTCAACTGATTCCTGAATGAGCCAGATTGGACTATCGGCATTAGTGGTGAATTGTGTATGTCAATTCTCTCTGATGCGACGATTTTGTCTACAAATCTGGCCTATTCTTGAACGGGATCTTTTGATAACTCCGCAAATTAGATAGACGTGGTCAAGATTGGAAGGCTATTATTCAAGGGGGCCGGGCCTAAAATTGTTTACGATAGAGAGCATTGATCTACGAACAGTCCTGTTAACCAATGTTGTAAACAAATGAACTGTTATGCCGATAGTGAAACAATATTTTACTGGCTCAGGTCAATAGCGGTGGTACCTCTTTAGCAGTCGTATTAATTCCTATTCATGGGTCTCCATTCCCGATTGTATTGGTTGGCATTGGCAATGATTTGAAAGTTCATGAAAAATTGGTCAGCTCAACGGGCTGGAACAGTGACCAAATCTTTGCCACGGTGAATGATTGGTAAGATTAGGGGAGCTTTCACTTGCTGTGGTTGGCTACTGCTAGTGAAATGGTCAAAGGGTTTGCAGGCAAGGGTGTATTTGCTTCAGCAATTCTGTAATTAGTTCGAATTACGATCCGATGTGGTGGTGGATACCACAGCTTCAGTTGAGGTGCCTAGGGTTGCCGTGAAATCATTTGCAGAAAATAGGGCTGCTGGAGTGTTATTGAGAAGTGGAGCTTAGAATTATTCGTGGATAGAATGGATGATGAACCTCCACACCAGTAAGTGATTAGGTGTGGTAAATGCCAGGCTACAATTCAAGGTTGATATGGTGAGCACGAATAATTCTCTCCTCCATATCCTTATTGGATAAGGAATGTTGTAGGGAACTCCAGATTCTGAAATTATGCATCTTCTGTAAAGATAGAAAGCTCATAGAGGTGTTCTTAATAGCAAAACCTAGGTGTTTAAGCTCCTAGGGTTAATATTGGGCTGTCTCATCTAGATTCCTTTCATTTTTGCTGAAGGAATCATGGGAACTGGGCTGGTGGCAGAAATGATCGTTAGTGCTAATATTTCCTCTTTGGGGTATACAACTTGGAGTTTCAGGAATTGAACTCTTGGCTCATTTTGACTAGGTGTTCAGTTAATGGTTTCACTACATTAGCAATCGGCAGTGCTGGGCAACAGCTCCAAATTCACACAACTCATGACTTCACTTCTGCTCTCCGGGATCAGACTCCTTGGGGATATATGGTCTAGGTTATCTTCAAATTTCAGATTTTTTTCGTAATGTGAGTACGGAGATACGACGAGTCCATATGCTGTATTTTCCCATTTCGCTGGTAATTTAGTTGCTATCATTTGATGAGCTTGCAAAATATTCTCATAGAAGGCCAATACTCCAAACCAAGTTATGTGTTGGTTGACAATACTTAGGAGGAAAGAAAAGCATGGGAGTTGTCCCTAAGGACTAAGGAGACAATCTATTTTTACCTTACCCTTATGATCTCTACGCCCCTGTTTTGGAATTTATATAGATTGATGGTTGTTTTCAACAGCTTGATACCTCTCCATTTCGGGTGGTATGGGCTGAAGTTTGTCCACAAGAGAACTCTGTGTAAACTCCTTCCAGTTTCAGTACAAGTCGCATGTCAATGACACAATCTCATACTGTTTCGGTGTTTCCTAAAGGATACCTACAACCGGTTTCTACTGCACTTGTCTGCTGGCAATGCTTATATCTACTATCTAGTATCGAGTTAGCCAAGTAAAATGAAATTATGCAGATAACTCTTTATCGAACTTAGAACTAACTGGATGGTCATGGAGTGCTATTGTTTAATCTTCTACTATCCACATTCTGGAATTTTTTTTTGCACGGTGCTCTTTATGAGGTACTAAATTTTGTTTTTGTTGAATTTCAAAACAGGCAATCACTGCTCTGAAGAAAGGAGCTTACTTGCTGAAGTATGGAAGAAGGGGGAAGCCAAAATTTTGTCCCTTCCGCCTTTCAAATGTAAAGTGTGCCAAGTTTTGTTAGCTATTTAATATGTATACCTTCTGAATTATCACTTACAAATTCAACAAAATACCATCTGCATGTGTCCTAATTTATTCCACCCTCTGCGATATTCATCAGTCATCATGACCTCAACTATAAGAATAAAACTCTGTCTTCCTCTTTTAGTAAGATTATAATAGTAACAATCAAAGTCTTTATTTTGTACATTTCAGTGGATAATCTTGATATCTGAAGTGGTGAGTTGGCCGCATTTCTTACTCTATGAAGTGCTTCGCCTATGATGCAACTTATTACGCGTTCTTATGCAGTTTGTCGATTTCTCTTGTAAGAGGTGATTAGCATACTGATATTTTTATTTGTTCAGGATGAGTCCGTTCTTATTTGGTTCTCAGGGAAAGAGGAGAAGCATCTCAAGCTAAGCCACATATCTAGGATTATATCCGGGCAACGCACTGTGAGTTTCTTGATTTGATTTTATTTTATTTATAAAATGTGTTGAAATATATTTTGTTAAACTGATAGTTTCAGACTAGGCTCATTTTGACTTCTTTGTGGGAATGCCAAAGATCGGTTAATTCTTGATTGACTTTTGGGTCATAGTCCCCAGTTTAGAACTTGTAGTATATGATGTTGTTACTTTTGAAGAAGCTCTGGGTCATAGTTATTGTTTACTTGGAATGTTGATAGTCTTGAGGAAACGTTACTCTCAAATCATCTGTACTTATTTCCTTAGGTTGCTTTATTTAGTCAAGATATCAGTGGTAATTTGTGTTATTTCTGCCATTTTGCGATTTGATATACTGAGAAGAATGAAGCCCATCTTTCAATGTTCACTGACCAGCTAAAATTTTTGCAGCCAATCTTTCAGAGGTATCCACGTCCTGAGAAGGAATACCAGTCGTTTTCTCTTATATATAATGACAGATCATTGGATTTGGTACGATTTTCTATGCTTTAAGGACACTGTTTCTGACTATGATTACGTATCTTTATACAATTAGTTGCTGAAATGACGGGGGCATCACACACCTTGATTTCTTCATTACATACACATAGCCTCAAGTATGAAGTTCTAATGTTTATCGTGATCTCTTTACTAGATTTGCAAAGATAAAGATGAGGCGGAGGTGTGGTTTAGTGGTTTAAAAGCATTAATATCGCGCACCCATAACCGGAAATGGAGAACAGAATCAAGGAGTGATGGCATTCAATCTGAAGTGATCAGTCCCAGGACATATACTCGTAGAAGTTCTCCCTTGAATTCTCCATTTGGGAGTAATGACAGTTTCCAGAAGGTATAGGCTTCTATTGTTCACCTTGCTCTTTTTTTGAATTCATCACTGCTGCCTCTTCCCCTTCTGTTTATGCGCGTGTCCTCATTCAGGATGGAGAGACCCTTCGTATTCACAGTCCATATGGAAGTCCACCGAAGAATGGACTAGATAAGACTTTCTCCGATGTGATATTTTATGCTGTTCAGCCTAAAGGGGGTTTCCCCTCCGATGCTGCTGATGCTTCAGCCCATTCTTTGTCATCTGGGGGATCAGATAGTATGCATGTTCATACAAAGGGACTAGGGATGGATGCTTTTAGAGTTAGCTTATCCAGTGCTGTCAGTTCATCAAGCCAAGGTTCTGGTCATGATGATGGTGATGCCCTAGGGGATGTTTTTCTTTGGGGCGAAGGGACTGGAGAGGGTGTTTTAGGCGGTGGAGTTCATAGAGCTGGGAACTGTTTCGGTGTAAAAATGGATTCATTGTTGCCTAAAGCCTTAGAATCTACAGTTGTACTTGATGTCCAGAACATTGCTTGTGGCAGCCGACATGCAGCCTTGGTGTCTAAGCAAGGTGAGATTTTCTCCTGGGGGGAGGAATCGGGAGGCAGACTTGGGCACGGTGTCGATTCTGATGTCATGCATCCGAAACTTTTGGATACTCTTAGCAATACCAACATTGAGCTTGTAGCTTGTGGCGAATATCACACATGTGCTGTAACGCTTTCTGGTGATTTGTATACTTGGGGTGATGGAACTTACAATTTTGGTCTTCTTGGACATGGAAATGTAGTCAGTCACTGGGTCCCGAAAAGAGTGAATGGGCCCTTAGAAGGCATTCATGTATCATCTATTTCTTGTGGACCGTGGCATACAGCAGTTGTAACATCTTCTGGGCAATTGTTTACATTTGGTGATGGCACATTTGGTGTTCTAGGTCATGGAGACAGGAAAAGTGTATCGTTGCCAAGAGAAGTGGAATCCCTCAAGGGGCTCCGAACTGTACGAGCATCATGTGGTGTTTGGCATACCGCTGCAGTTGTAGAAGTCATGGTTGGTAATTCGAGTTCTAGCAATTGTTCTTCGGGTAAGTTGTTCAGCTGGGGAGATGGAGATAAAGGAAGACTTGGGCATGGTGACAAGGAAGCCAAACTTGTTCCTACTTGTGTTGCTGCTCTGGTTGAACCAAACTTTTGTAGAGTTGCTTGTGGGCACAGCCTGACTGTTGCTCTCACAACATCGGGCCAGATCTACACTATGGGTAGTCCTGTTTATGGTCAACTAGGGAACCCACATGCTGATGGGAAGCTTCCTGCCCGTGTTGAAGGCAAACTGTCAAAGAATTTTGTCGAGGAGATAGCGTGTGGTGCTTATCATGTTGCTGTTCTAACTTCCAGAACTGAAGTTTATACTTGGGGGAAGGGGGCAAATGGTAGGTTGGGTCATGGGGATATGGATGACAGAAACTCTCCTACACTGGTGGAAGCTCTGAAAGACAAGCAAGTTAAAAGTATTGCATGTGGTGCTAATTTCACTGCAGCTATTTGCCTTCATAAGTGGGTCTCGGGTGTTGATCAGTCTATGTGTTCTGGATGTCGGCTACCGTTCAATTTCAAACGCAAACGGCACAATTGCTATAATTGTGGACTAGTTTTCTGTCACTCATGCAGCAGCAAGAAGTCTCATAAAGCTTCCATGGCTCCAAATCCGCACAAGCCCTATCGTGTGTGTGATACTTGCTTTAATAAACTTGGGAAAGCCATGGATACTGAGGCACCATCGTCTCATTCCTCAATTAGTAGAAGAGGTAGTATAAATCATGGCTCTAATGAGTTTAGTGATAAAGATGAAAAGTTGGATTCGAGATCTCGTTCACAGCTTGCTAGATTTTCATCAATGGAGTCCTTCAAGCAAACAGATAGTCGATCCAAGAAAAACAAAAAACTAGAGTTCAACAGCAGCCGTGTGTCGCCGATTCCAAATCGAGGGTCACAGTGGGGAGGACTGAATATTTCTAAATCTTTTAATCCTATGTTAGGTTCATCCAAGAAATTCTTCTCTGCCTCGGTTCCTGGGTCAAGGATTGTTTCTCGAGCAACGTCGCCCATATCTAGACGGCCGAGTCCACCGAGGTCAACAACGCCAACACCAACCTTGGGTGGCCTTACTTCACCCAAAATCTCAGTTGATGATACTAAAACCTCTAATGATGGTATTAGCCAAGAGGTTACTAAATTAAGAGCTCAGGTACTGCTCCTTATGTTACCTCCTGGTCTTTAAATCTGATCAACTGTTTGGTTTATTTTTCCTTATGTCACTTCATTATTTTGATGAATGTGGAAATAACGACTTGGACATGAATTAGTTGTGGGACATACACACTTGCTTTCATTTCAACTGTTAGTAACAAAATTCAGCTCAAGGTGCACAAAATTCCAGCACATACATTTCTGTGTGTTTCATGGATGATGCATCTTTCTAGACCCGACTCATTTGTATGTATGGGTTGCAAAATGTCGCTGTTGTGCTCATTTGGCTTGTAAATGGGCTACCCAACTCATAAGTTAACTGGAATTTTCCTATTTGTTGGAACAATGCTACTGATAATATTCAATGGATGTTTATGTACTTGTATCATTATGGTGGCATGCGGTGTGCAACTTTTGTTTTATGATTCATTGGGGTCATATAATGATTTGCTCTGCTGATTTGTTTGAAGAAACACAAACTTCAGTGCTTTCTAACCAAACCGTATTTCCCAGGTTGAAAGTTTGACTCACAAAGCTCACCTTCAAGAAGTAGAGCTAGAAAGAACAACTAAACAATTGAAGGAAGCAATTGCATTCGCAGGAGAGGAAACTGCAAAATGCAAAGCAGCGAAGGAAGTAATCAAGTCACTCACCGCTCAAGTAAGACAAGTTTTGATGTTTCCTGTAGATACTAATCAAGCCACCATTGGTAATGTTATATGAAGTGCATTAGTCACTTGGAATCAGCGTACTTATTTCACTTTTTGCTCACATCATTATTGTTTTATTGATAGCTGAAGGACATGGCAGAAAGACTACCCGTGGGAGCAGCCAGGACTGTGAAGACACCTTCCTTCACTGCTTTTGGATTCAATCCTCCGAATGAGATGCCAACCAATAATGTTACTATGGACCGCTTAAATTGTCAAGCGACATCCCAAGATCGAGACACGACAAGTGGGTTAAATACTAACCAGTTAATCCCCAATGGTTCCAGCACAACTAGCAGCCATAGTTCTGGTTACAACATCAAACAAGGCCATGCAGAATCCACGTTGAGGAATGGCAGCGGCAGAACAAAAGACGGCGAATCACATAGTGAAGCTGAATGGGTTGAGCAAGATGAGGCTGGCGTGTATATAACACTAACCTCTTTGCCAGGCGGTGGCAAGGATCTCAAACGTGTGCGCTTCAGGTGCGTTCTTCTACATTCAAATCTTCATCCAATCTACCTGCATTAATCTGAAGTATTAAGTGATGCACAGTTTAGAACTCGTCTGCCTATATCGGCTTTAGCCTGAAGTTACATGTGTTCTATCTCTGTAATCGTGACTGATGGAACCCTGTAACTTTGAGATTGCAGTAGAAAGCGCTTTTCGGAGAAAGAGGCAGAGCAGTGGTGGGCTGAGAACAGGGCAAGAGTCTATGAACAGTACAACGTAAGGATGGTTGATAAGTCGAGTGTCAGCGTCGGTGGCGAGGATTTGCCACAGTAGTTAGGACCGGGGGAGATTGCCGTCGCCTTATATAGCAAAGGTAGGTTCTTTTTACCTTTCTTCGTCCTGGTCTTCTTCAGCTAGCTAGCTAGCTCCAACACCGTTTTTAACGACGTAGAGCATCGTTTCCACAAACCGAGTTTATGAGATGCATGCCTCCATATATCTTTGGCGTCAACGGGGAAGGGGAAGTTAGAGTGGTTCGGTTGTGAATTTCTTTGATACTTTTCTTTAACCTGTCCTGTAATTTTTTTTATACCAGTTTCGAACTCCTGATTGCCAATTTTTTTACCCCTATATGTACGTGGTGTGGGTTGAATAGATAGTGAAAATGTAAATTCTTCTTAGTCTGTTGGAATGAAGAGAGAGGAGGGTGCAGCTGCCATGTAAATTCATAACAACAAATGAACTGCACTTTCAGTCGATTGGTGTCCAGCGTGCCTGTTGTTTTGCCTAATCCTGTATTATGAACGGTGATTTCAATTTGTTTGCCATTGGAGAGATTTAATAATGAATGCTAACACGAATTGTTGGGAGATTAATAATGAATACTAACATGCTCCTCTAATGATATGAATTTGATACCATTCAAGAACCGGTTGAGCTTAATAATTTCAATTGTTATGAAAGATTTATTAATAAATCTTAGGGTAAACTAGCTTTTTACCCGGCACGTTGACCCGAGAGATTTATTTTATAATTTATATGTTTAAATCATTTTGGATCTTCAAAATATTTTGTAACAGAGTTTGTAGTATGTCTATATTGAAATTTTCAATATTTAGCACTCATTTGTGATGCTTCAGTTTTCTAATCATAAATTATGTCGCTGCCACGTCGCATTTAGAACTTATGTTAAAATTTGTCAACCAAAACACTAATATTTAGCGTACGCCAACCTAAACCACACACACATATATATAGTTCAAGCTAGCGTGCACCAGGAGTACGCTATACTCTTGCATTCATACTACCATACGTCCATTGAGTTTTACTATTTAGACATGGATTAACCAGAGTTTTTTGGGGCATGATACTATACTCTAACCTCTAATAGGTGAACTCCAGTGCCTAATTCTGTAACCTCTAATTTATACACAAACTTCGTAATACCTATCTTCTATCGTATCTTGAGTAAAATAAAAAGTATAGTATACCTTGATATTACATATACATGTATATATATGTGTGTATATATTAGACTCAAAATTATCTAGAGATCTTGCTTTTACCCCCATAACGCCAGACAACCATTGGGGTTGTCTATCGTTCGATATATAATATATAAAGAGAAAAATACTAAGATCCTACTATTTATTTTTTATCCTCTCTCGCCGCCCCTTTATGGAAAATAAAAGGGTAGGGATGACAGGATCTTAGCTCGATATGATTTTATTATGTTCATCGTATCGGAGGTTATGTTCTTTTTTGCTTCTTTTCATTCTACCTTAGCACCTATGGTTGTGATCAGAGGTATTTAGCCCTGGAAAGGGATTGGGATTTTAGGGCCTTTGGAAATCCAATACAAATTCATGATTCTCGAGTTTGGACGAACTCTCGACCAATGCTGTAAAGATTAGGACTTTTTAGTGAGAAATTCTTAGTAAAGATACTTCATTATTGGATTTATTCATCCATATTGAAACTTGACACACACCGTAGCCCTCATGATGATTAAATTCTCTAATCTCGACTCATTTCCATTTTGGATGTTTGTTTATTTTATCCAGACACTTAAATCTAGTATATTGTACAATATGTATCAATTGTTAATTTTTGAAGTTTATACTAAACCTCAACCGGTGGTCATTGTTTATATCTTGGCTTAGAATCTCAATCTAAGGCACTCACACACACTATCGAGGATTTTGGTCTTAACATGATCGTTGAATGTGTAATTTTCAAAGATTTTATCACTTATATATTAATAATTGATAAACAATGTCTCCAATACACACATATTTCAAGTGCATTTAAAATGTCTTATCATTTGAACAATATCAGTGGATTTCATTTGATTATTTGCATTAAATTATTATCTTATACAACATATATCAATTCGTGTTTCTCGAGTTTGGACGAACTGGCAACCAATTTTGAGAGTTGAGATTATTGGATAAAGATACTTGATTGTTGGATAAATATGTTTATCCCAATTGACTATCTTACTAAAAATTGCCAACCTTTATTTGGTAAATGCCTAGGTTAGTAGTTGATGAAACATGATGTTTATCGTAGATTCTCAACAAAGATTTTTCTAACCTTCACATCTATTATTTTTCAAGGAATCTTGTGTCTCATCCTAGGGTATGAAGTCAAAGTTCATCAACAATCATACTTACGTCATTTTGAAAATTTTGATTTATAATCGTCGACGATAACTCCAAGTCTGAAAGAAAATTTCTTAGCATACGACTTAGAACCTCAATAGAGCTTGCTCAATCAACATGATTTAGAGCAAATATTATTAATGTGACCTTATGACACATTATCAAATTATTGCACATGCGATTCCTCTTCATTTGAGGAATTTAAGGTAGAACATGATCTGAATGAATAAGAAGTTTTTTTTAAATAAATAATTGGAACTACTAAATCAAGATTATAATCTGACATTTTGCTAAATAATACTTGTTTTATTTTATAGATATATACTGTATGAATAAGAGAGTGTTTCATTGCAACAAAATATAAAGTAATATAGTTTATTTTTCAAAGGTAATTGATTGTCAAATGTTTATTTTCTCTCTTTTCATATATATTTTGGTTTAATCGATTAAACCATAATTGTTTATGTGTATGTTTGTTAATTTTTTTCATCAAAATATAACTTATCATTCAATTTTAGTAAAAAAGAGTAGAAAATCTACTTCATAAGGTTTAATCATATATTTTTTATTTAAACAAATGTGATATATGTCACTGTCTGTTTTCTTATTTATATTTTGTTTATTTAACAAAAAATTATTATTTATGTGTGTTTGGTTAAGTTTATCAACATGTAACTTATAATTAAAGACAAAAATGAATAAATGGATAAATGAAAAAGAATCTACAAAACACTATAAGTCAATGTGCAAAAACCGGCTTTGCCACGTAATCCCCTCCTGAATTCCCCGCACAGTTCGGAGGGTTACTTTAGTAAATTCTGTAACCTTTCTTTCTTGCTTGCCGTCTTCCAAATTCAAACCGGCAAGTGCCGAAAATTTGTCGCCGTCTTCCCAACGAAATCCTTCTTACCGTCCTTCTTTGGCGCTGAATCACAAAATCGAAGTTATCTCGGGCCTTTCTCTGCTCATCTCTTCAAGCTACAAGTCGGGAATTACTTTCCAAATCGTAGTCAATCTTCTCCTTTTGACTTCTGCTTGCAGGCATCATCACGCTTGAAATCGGACGCCAGATACCTTCCCAGGTCTTCGTTCAACTCCCAGCTGCCTCAAAGCCTCTCTCCGGTCAATCTTCCACTTCTGCCGAAACTATGCTTTTACCCATCACCACGCTCGGAATGGGAAGCCACCTAGCTGCCCAGGTCTCCGTTCACCGACCCGATGACTCACCGCCTCCCTCTTGGTGGCTGTCTGTTCGGCGCATTTTGTTCCCGCTGGTGTCTCTTCACCTAATCCACCCAGAAGCAAGTCTCTTCTTATCTCTGTTGCTCTTACACCCCTTGCCGTATTGTAGTCGATTGGCCAAGGAACTTCTCCTCTGCGTGATTACTGCATTATTTCTTTGTTTGAGTATGCGTTCAAATTATGAAACTGCTAAGTAATGAGTTGGAATCAGCTACTTTCTTTCTTGACTATTCCGTTCCACATCAAATCATAGTGAGTCTGTATTAGGGGATTAAGGATCCATTTTCCTATTGGTTTTCTCTTGGGTGTGCAGCAATGAGGCCCAAGCGTCAGCGCGTGGAAGCTTCTTTTGCCTAAAATGATCCTCCATTCAAGTCTAACTCTGCTCCTATTCGATGTAATATACTCCTTTAGCTCTTAGTATGGTGTTTTCTGAGATTCAAAGAAATGTACATTCTGGAGTGAAGTTTAATATCAACCATGTATTCCATTGTGTCTTTGTTATAGAAAGGAAGAGCTATTTGTATCTCTCCTGAAAGTCCGACACTTGCTGAAGTCAACGCAGAGAGGCTGCGACTTGAGGGTAATAAGTAAAGTTGAACTCAAAGTCTTTGGACTGACAACATATTCATATCCTTCTTCATGCTTATTATATACTGTCGATCCGATTGCACAAATGAAGTAATTTTGACTCAGAATACAGTGACTTGATTTGTAGTTGTTCTTCCCTGTTTTACTTCTTAATGATAGTTATCAGCATTCAGCAAGTTGAAATCTCGACTCACTCGCGTTGATCGTCATATTGCGACTTTAGCTAGGAGAAGAAGGAAGTTTCTTTTGGTGGTGTGACGGTTTCATGGAGTGCGTGTTGTTTCAGTCCCAAGTATGTCGTTATTTTTCTTCTTACTTATCTATAGACTGCTTTTGAAGTTCAGTATCATCAGCTCTGTATTTTTTAATGAGGTTGCATAACCTAGAGGTGTATAAAAGAATTCCTAATTAGATTGTTGCCTTCAAATTATCGTGGTATCTAATTAAGTTACATTAGTTCAATAATTAGCTGCTTAATGTTAATTGCAATTTGGATATGCATTGGAATTTTTTTATATTTCTGCAGTTTTCTTATTATGCAGTTGCTTGAATTGGATTCGGTTGTAAGGTATGTTGGCTGTTCATTGTAAATGTTATAATACACTTATGCTAGGGAATAGGTTGTTTGTATTAGGAATTGTTATTTATCATAATTTCAGAGAATTGAAATTAATTCATTCAAGGAAAATAACTTGCTGTAGAACCGCTTGAACAATTTTCATCCAATATTTCACCATTTTAATTGCCACTAGTCTGACACGCTTCTAATTCCATTGACTTATGTATGGGGCTTAAAGTTAATAGGACTCAATTAATCCTGTTCCAACTTTAGGGGTAAATTACCCATGTTTTTGAAATGTTTTAAACTAACTATGTTTTAACATCATGAACCCTCAAACTTAGATTTCTGTGGTCAGCATTGACCATGATCCTCTTCAGGTAAATGAACTTCCAGCTCCAGATCAGTTTGCTTTGGTTACAGCCTACCAAATCAAGTTCATAGCTTTAACATACCTTATGTCTAACACGTAACTTGCAGCAACTCAATAAGGATCCATGGTCAAAGGACCTTGAAGGAGCAACCTCAGCTGGACAGAAAATGGAAGCTGCTCTTGATTGTGAGGCTGACGATGAGAAGTAGTGTTGCTGCAACCTTGCTTCACCTAATACCCGCCATATCGAGCATTCTGTTTAGTATTATTGTTTCCTCTATGGGATGTTCAGTTTTATCTTTTTATTCAGGTCCCTATTGGGACTCAAGTTATATAGGTTATTTCTCTTATGAATTTTCCTCTTCTATTTAGCATGAATTGCGAACAATATTATGGTTCTTTGTCTTCAATGGTTTTCAATCTGTTGTACAATTTTATCTCT